TCCATGAACATGATTTCTGCCCGAGTCCCGTCGGATTGCGTCGGCTGTGCGGATGAAGACCACAACTCCCATGATTCCACACTCAGCCACGGCCTCATCAAACTACACTGTTGTGTCTTTGTTTGTTTTGAGTACGCGCCCTCTAGCGGCGAAAACTTACATACTGTGCCTTTAACCACAAATGCAGGTCTTGCAGTAGCTGGACTTCACGCGTGACGTAATCCCGTTGGAAAGGTCATGCGGTCAGCTCTTCGTCTGTGTGCTCCGCTTCAGAAAGAAAAACTCCATCTCATTTTCTCCTCCAACTTCAAAATCGTCCGACATCGTTGTTTTATATTTATTGTAAAGCGCGTTTGACTTTCTTTGCACGTTCGCTTTGTAAACACTGGGTCGGTGCTTCCGCCTCCGTCACGCGTGACCTTTCCAACGTGATTAGGTCACGCATGAGCTAGTGCAAGATGAGCATCTGTGGTTAAAAACTATATAAATGTTTTTTTTTAATAACGTGAGCGATGGTTTCTGTAGATAAGACTCTTATTCCTCGGCTGGGATCCTGTAGAGCTCTTTGAAGCTGCTCTGAAACTGTGATGTGATCTTCAGCCCGTTGAATCCCATTGAAGTCCATTATATGGAGAAAAATCCTGGAATGTTTTCTTCAAAAACCTTCATTTCTTTGCGACTGAAGACAGAAAGACATGAACATCTCGGATGACGTGAAGGTGAGTAAATGATCAGGAGGTTTTTATTCTGGAAGTGAACTACAGCTTGTTTGTGTTCTCCGTCAGACACCCAAAGGGCGGCTCGTTCGTTCGGCCCAAAAAGGCCAGTTTCGGTGTGGATTACGTGACGGCTCTGAAGCAGCGCTACGAGGTGGAACTACAGGAGGCTATCGAAGAAGATCTGAAGATCTCCAGCAGAACCGTGATGATGGTCGGCTTTGAGGACGTCAAGCAGAAGCAGAGGTGACGTTTGTTTTTGTAAACTGTTGTGTTTCATATTTACACCACTGTATACCACTTAAAGGGGTCCTATTATGTTTTTTTACAAAGTCTTGATTTAGTTTTGGGGGTGCACTAGAACAGGCTCTCATACTAGGTTGTTCGAAAAACACATTATTTTTCACATATTTCACATTTTTCACATATTTTACAGTGTGTTCTGTGATTGGTCATCTGGGCCAGTGTGTGCTGTGATTGGTCGGCTGGGCCAGTGTGTGCTGTGATTGGTCGGCTGGGCCAGTGTGTGCTGTGATTGGTCGGCTGGGCCAGTGTGTGCTGTGATTGGTCGGCTGGGCCAGTGTGTGCTGTGATTGGTCGGCTGGGCCAGTGTGTGCTGTGATTGGTCGGCTGGGCCAGTGTGTGCTGTGATTGGTCGGCTGGGCCAGTGTGTGCTGTGATTGGTCGGCTGGGCCAGTGTGTGCTGTGATTGGTCGGCTGGGCCAGTGTGTGCTGTGATTGGTCGGCTGGGCCAGTGTGTGCTGTGATTGGTCGGCTGGGCCAGTGTGTGCTGTGATTGGCAGCACTCAGCGCCTGGTCAGGAAATGTCATGCCCCTTACCATAGCCGCCTGCATGCTTCAGAGTAAATATTGATCAAAATCAACGAGTCATTCGTTGTAGTTTTAGAAAAGTGATTTCTGTTAAATAAAATATCTCCATTTGAAGCGGACTTCGAGCTTTGTACCTTTGCAGATCTTTTTTATGCTCAAACAGCAACATTACAGACTAACTAAAGTTGAAAAAGTGAAAAAGCATAATAGGACCCCTTTAAATGTGTATTTTGGATGGTTTCTTTCCACTAGTCTGAAAGAAGACATGCAATTGAAGCAAAAACTCAAAATTGACTAGTGCCTGTAATGTCCTGCCTTAAATAACATCTACTTCTGTTATTAAGAAGGCTTTTTCAGAATGCAAAATGTGTTTATTGGGCTCCCGAAGGCTGGAGAACCTGACAGAAATCAGTCTGAGGAGATGCGAGGTGTCTGGTCCCGGTCCGGAGAATGAGATCAGAAATGCCACACCTTGTATCCTTCGAAAAAATGCATCACTGATGTTCTCAGACAGGAACAGGAAGACTCTGCGTGAGGCTTCTTTAACAGCATCTCAGTCGCTCGGTCTCTGGATCTGTCTGGAAACCTGCTGAGCTCCTGGGAGGTGCTGGCGGCGATCACCGAGCAGCTGGAGTCTCTGCGGGAGCTGCAGCTCAGGTGAGGCCGTCTGATCACACCTGACACCATGTTATTCCCTTCTGAGGTCTGAGCGCTGAAAGTCCCGTTTCAATATCTCTGTGTAGTCACAACAGATTGAGCACCTCCAGTGACCCGAGCTGTTTAAGCCCCGCCTTCTCCTGTCTGAGGGTGCTGTCACTCAACAGCTGCGCGCTCACCTGGACTCAGGTCAGATATATGCGTTTATATGTTGCTTTGGTTTGTGCTCACTGAATTACATCATACTTAACATTACCTTCTCAGACATACACTACAGGTCAAAAGTTTGGAATGATTAAGATTTGTTAATTCTTAATGAGGTCTCTTCTGCTCGCCAAGGCTGCATTTATTTTATCAAATATACAATAAAAACAGTAATATTGTGAAATATTTTTTTTAATAATTCATTAAATTGTAATAGCATTTTATAATATAACTGTAACATTATATATATTTTTTTTAATTCAAAATATATATAAAAAATATTATATATAAAATATCATATAAAATGTATATTATATATTAAAAGTAAAATGTAAAATATATAAAAATAATTTTATATATATATATATCCAGTAAAAACAGTAATATTGTGATATACTTAAAATTATAGGTAAATTAATAATAATTCATTAACCTAATTGTAATATTTCTTAATATTACTATTTTTGTATTTTTACAGTAATACTGAAAAATGCTTATGATTAAATAATAAATTAAATTATTAAATAATAATGATGTAATTATTATTATTGATTAATATAATAGACAACAATGAATTATTATTCATAAATTAATAATAATTCATAATAATGGAAATAAATAAATAAAATAAGTAAATTAATAATTCACTAATTACTAAAACTGGAATAATATTTCACAATATTACTGTAAAAATATAGTAAAAATAGTAATATTGTGAAATGTTTTAGTTAATAATTCGTTAATTAAATAAATTGTACTAATATTTCACAATACCACTGTCAGAAATACATTTAAAAATATTAATATTAATATTAAGATATATTTAAAATGATAATTAATAATTAATTATATTTTACTAATTACTGTAAGAATACAGTACAAACAGTAATATTATAAAATATTAAAAAATAATTAGTAATTACAATATCTTTGTAAGGATAAAGTAAAATAAAAAGTAATAATATTATAATATTTCACAATATTATTGTAAAAATACAGTAGAATTTTGTTAAATTTAAAATTATTATTAGTTTGAATTTATACTAATTAACTAATGCAATTGTAATAATATTTCACTACTCTATTGTTTTACCATATTTGTGATCAAATAAATGCAGCCTTTATGAGCAGAAGAGACTATTTTCAAAAACATAAATGCATTGTAATTATTCCAGACCTCTGACCGGTAGTGTGTGTGAATGTGGATCCAGCTCTGACCTCTGACCCCTCTGACCCCTCTGTCTTTGTCAGGTTCTCCATTGCGCCCCCATGTGGCGGCAGGTCGAGGAACTTTATCTCGCTGACAACGACGTCACAGAATTATTAAGGTACATCATATTCACGTCACAGAGCAGAAATATTCCTCATATCACAGAAACCAACCGTGCCTTCTTTCATGTAGACCAGAGCATGTGCTACAGGCTTTAAAAGTTCTGGATTTATCCAGTAACCAGATAGTCCAGGAGACGGTGCTGGAAATCTCACATCTACCCGGGTAAGACCTGAACATAACATCATCATCATAACAACATCATAACTGTGAAATAATGTTTGAATCCTCAGGCTGCAGAGGCTGAATCTGTCCAGCAGCGGTTTATCAGTCTTTCAGTTCAGTGATGCTTCACCAGGTACCAGAGCGTCTCAAATGACTCAACAAGCTCTAGATTCATATCCATGATGTGTGTGTGTGCATGCATACAGTAAAAAATAATATTTTCATGCTGTGAAGGCAACAAGACGGCTTTGTTTCCTGCACTGAAGACACTTTTACTAGACGACAACAGCATTTCAGAGGTGAATATGAAGGAACATCATGTGAAAATGTCCCATTTTACTGTCTGCGTCAAATTACATTTAGAAATATTGCCTTAGTGACTATCCAAAATAAAATAAGTTTAAGCTTTTTCATATTTTGCATTTATGCATTTAGCACACTTTTATCCAAAGCGACTTGCGTCTGCTAAATGCATAAACGTACATTTGATTTCAGTTTGAGCAATGAAGATGTTTTGTAATGAATGATAATAAGCTGATGTCTCTGTGTGTGTGTGTCTGTTTGTGTGTGTGTCTGTGTCTGTGTCTCTGTGTGTGTGTGTGTGTGTGTGTGTGTCTCTGTGTGTGTGTGTCT